AGTTCTTCCCCTGACAAACTTATCTAAAACTGAAATCCATTCAACATACCCTACATTTCCATGCTTAATTTTTCTCCATAGTATTTAGCACTATCTCAAATTTTATTATATTTCCCAACTTATTTATTGCCTCTCTCCCCTACTAGAATGTAAGCTCCCCATAATATCAGGATCTCAAAAAAGATTTTCTTGTGTTGCTCACTACATTTTCAGCACCTCAAACAGAGCCTCCTGTACGGCAGATGCTTCATAAATATTTGTTGAATAAGTGACTCCAGCATCTCAGGATGCTTTAGGTTCCCACTGCCAGCCTCAATCTACCTGAAAGAGCTCCCTTATTTCCTGTAGGTCCAGCAATGCAATTAGAAAAGACAATTTGCTTTAGGCAGGTTTTATTTTTTATTCTGTTTCAAACTGGAGTGTCCTTTGGAGAATCTAATTCATTGTCCGGATCAAAGTGAAGGCTGAGCCAGGTGCAGTGACTTATAACTGTAATCCTGGTGACTCGGAGGCTGAGGCAAGAAGATCTCAAGTTTGATAAGTTGGAGGCCAGCCTTAGCAACAACTTAGCAAGACCATGAGTCAAAAATAAATGAATTAATTAATAAAAATAAAAAGAACATACTTTATATACAACCAGAGATATAAAAAATTGTGCTGTATATGTGTAATAAGAATTGTAATGCATTCTGCTGTCGTTTATTTTTTTAAAAATCAATAAAATCAATCAATAAAAAATAAAATAAAAAGGACTGGGGATGTAGCTCAGTGGTAAAGCACTCCTGGTTCAATCCCCAGTAATACACACACACTCACACATAAAGTAAAAGCTGAATTATTCTTTAAACATAGTGTTGAATTCATTTTACTAATAATTTGCTTAATGTTTTCACATCTAAGGCCTTAGACAAAACTGGCTTTCAAATCCCCTTCTTTTGTGTTATCTTCTACCATGACAGGATTTGATGTCATTTGTTAAACTATTTTCCCAATGTTAGGGTGAGATTGTAATAAATTATCAACTTCATCTTAAAGCAGGAGATGGAACCATCTTTATACACCAGCTGGTGAGCCAAGGGGCAGGCTGCAAGTCTATACCCTTTGACCTCCTTCAGGGGTTTGAGTACACCTTTTATACCATAAGTAAGGTTTGTCAGTACATTAGTCATAAGTGAGTATTGCTATGATTCAAGACCATAAACAAACATGAGATCTAAAGTCATAAACAGAAGGAGAAGTGTACTAGTTGAGTAAAAGTTAAAGAACTGTTACTAACCTCTAGACAATCATTCTCTGACAGGGTACATTGTCCAAGATAAATGGGAATAAAAAAGAGAACAATCTTATATTGTATTGTACAAGAATTTCCATTTCATGTTGCCAAACATGCTATGCTAAGCAACTGTTGATGGGTACAGAGGTAGGATGTTCCAATTGGAGAAGTATTTCTTATACAACATGGAGTCTCAGGGTAAATGGAGTCTGTTTAGTCATTGCCCACATAGTCTAGCCCTTAACACCAAATATTAAAATTGCTTTCTTCCTACTACAAAGTTACATCCTCAGCCCTTCTCATAGCAATTTTGATAAATTGATATTTTCTGCAAAAATCATATATTTTATCCATACTTTTCCATGGAGCTCTATTTAAACAGTACAATTTTCCATATTTATTATTATACCCCATATTTCATTTCTAGTTTTAATTCATATATTCTTTTCTTCTTGATTAAAATTATCAGAAGTCTACTTTACTACTGCTTCTCAGAGATCTAGTCCTTTAATGTTTTATTTTATTTATCTATCTTATTAATGTCTCTTTTTGCCATGTCTTTATCCTATTTTCCTTAAGAATACATTAGTCTTTAAAATTTTATTTAATTGAATCTTTTACTTCATCTATTTTCTTTTGTAAATAAAAACAAATAGCATATAGGGTGCTTTGTTTTGTGTGTGTGTGTGTGTGTGTGTGTGTGTGTGTGTGT